GAAGTGCCCATGAAAAGTTTGCAAGCACATATCCTTCTCGTCTTGGATGTCCTCTTTTTCATGCCTGTCAAATTTTTGATCCAAATTTTATTTGTTTAATGATATGATTTCAAGAATTAAATGACTCATCTAATATTTTATTAGATGAATGGGCAATTTATTGTGGATCCACGTTTGATATAAATTTTGGAAATTAGTTTAGATGAATACTGGTTAAATATGGCCGGAAATTTACCCAATCTATCTCAAATAGCATTGGACCGTATATGGTTACCAATTTCTTCTTGTAGTGTGGAACGAAATTTTTCTAAATACGATTTTTAGGCAAAATTTATCTGAAGAGTCTTTAAATATGCTTTATTATTAATGGCAGTTTAAATGTTTTACAAATAATTAAAATTATAATACAGAATTACTGCAGAATGCATAGATATTGTAACGAATTGTGCAGAATATAGTGTTTTTTAATATTAATATTAATACACTTTTAGCAATCCACTTCATCGCCGCAGAAAATCATCGTCCCTGGTCAGGATGACAATAAATTGGTCATATAATAAAAAATTATCGTAAAAATGAGTCACCAAATTTTTAAATAAATAAAAAATAAATAAATCGGTAGAAAATTTTATCAAAACCAATTTTTTTCAATTGTTTTTTAGAAAAAAATTTTAAAATTAAAAAAAAGAAACAATGTTTTCAAAAAGTTTTCATAATATAACAACTAAAAAATTCATAAATTTACCCTTAAAAAATGCTATTATACCCACCATAACAAGCTCTTCAATAGTTAATCATCGTAATCGTCGATTTTTTGCCAGTCAAGTCAATAATGCAAATAAAGAAAAATTGATAATTTTTGACACAACTTTACGTGATGGTGAACAGGTAGGTATAGATAAAAAGAAGAAAAAAATGCTTTATCAACTTGTTATTAATAAAAAAATTTTATATACAGTCACCAGGTGTTACTTTTACTACAGAAGAAAAAATTGATATTGCTAAACATTTATCAAGTCTTGGCGTTGATGTTATTGAAGCTGGTTTTCCGGTTGCTTCACCAGGAGATTTTGAAGCAGTTGCTCGGATAGCAAAAGAAGTTGGTCCATTAATGCAAGGTCGAGAGAATATCGGAAAACCAGTGGTAAGTAGTTATTATTGTCGTTGTTGTGTTTTATGAAGATATTTATCATGCTTGATATTATGCTTATATACGAATAATAATAGACGATCACTGGACTTGCGCGTGCAAAAGAAAAGGATATTAAACGATGTTATGATGCAGTGTCACAATCACCTTTACATAGAATACATACTTTCCTTGCAACATCCGATATACATTTAAAATATAAATTGAAAATCGATAGAGAAGAATGTATAAAACGTGCATCAGAAGCCGTAAAATATGCAAAAAGTCTTTGTGATGAAGTTGAATTTAGTGCCGAAGATGGTGGTAGAAGTGATAAAGAATTTTTATGTAAATTGTTGAGTAAGGTTATCGAGTCAGGCGCAACTATCTTAAATATTCCTGATACAGTTGGTTATACTAGTCCTGAAGAATATGGCGCTTTAATTAGATATCTGATTGAAAACACTCCTGGTTCAGATAAGGTAAATCTAATTAATAATAACAACAATTATATTTATTTCCGATTTTTTACTATTAATAATTAATTATATATATAGGCTATATGGTCAACGCATTGTCATGACGATTTGGGTCTAGCTACTGCTAACACTTTATCAGGAGTCCTTAATGGTGCAAGACAAGTTGAAGTGTCTATTAATGGCATTGGTGAACGTGCAGGTATATGTTTATACAATCTGATATATATATATATATGAGAATAAAAAAATCAATTATAACAATCATCTAATTATTAATTCAATACTTCAATACTTTTTTTTTTTAAAAAAAAAGGTAACACTTCACTTGAAGAAGTAGCAATGAATATACGTACACATCCAGACTTTTATCCGGTTTATCATTCAATAAACACACAACAAATTTATCGTATATCAACTCTAGTCTCATCTCATTCCGGAATGTTAGTGCAACCCAATAAAGCAATAGTTGGAGCAAATGCATTTCTTCACGAATCTGGAATCCATCAAGACGGTGTTCTCAAAAATAAGTCAACATATGAAATTATTAAACCGGAAGATGTTGGTGTGTCTGATGTGAAATTAGTGTTGGGTAAATTGTCAGGACGTAATGCTTTTCGATCACGTATTGATGAATTAGGATATGGTGACATGAGCGAAGAGAAAATTAATGATGCATTTGAACGTTTTAAAGTATTGGCTGATTCGAAAAAAAGAATTACAGAAGACGATCTTTATGCTTTGTTGTCGGATCAAATTTCCGCAGGAACAGCTCCCGAGTCACAACGATTCAAGTTACAATCTATCCAGGTAGTTTCAGGAACCGCAGAAATGGCAACAGCCACAGTCAAATTGATAGACACATTGGCGGGTGATGATGGTAATAAAGAGTTAATAGATGCAGCTATTGGACGAACTGGGCCAATAATGGCTGTATTTGGTGCCATTCAACGTTTAGTTCAACGAAAAATTAGATTGTTACATTATGAAGTTCGTGCAGTATCAGAAGGTATGGACGCTTTGGGAAAAGTAGTAGTTAAAGTAACTGAAGATGTTGATTCATCGGGATTAGATGAAACAACAAATTTAACAACAAAAACAGAGATGGGTGGCGTTGTTAATCCTAATAAAACATATCTAGGTCGTGGAACTGATGTAGACGTGGTCACAGCTAGCGCCAGGGCTTATGTGAATGCCATTAATAGAATGTTTGAAGGAGAACTTATTTCTGATAAAAGAAGAAGTTATTTGGAGGAAAGGAAAGCAAATTTATAAAATTAATTTTATTTCTAATGAAAAAATATTAAAGTTAAATTTTTATTTAAAAGTAATTTACCATTTTAATTATAAGAATAAAGAAATGATTTATCACTTTTATATCTATCGTTATTGATTTTACTATATATATCCCAAGGCAAGATTGATTTTAAATATATTAATTCACATGATGTAACTTTTTTTACTCATTGTATTACGTCCTACCGTGCTTATTCAACTAATTACTAATACTATTGATTGGTAAACTGGATAAACTGACCCATCATATAATGTACCAGCTTCATCATCTATACTCATGGCATTGATTTTTGTAAATTAAAACATCAAAAAAAAAAAAGTAATAAGAAAAAATTACTATCAGAAACGCCTGTTATAGTATCTTGAGTACTTGGATAAATTTTGATCGCATATAAATCCTTCGGTAGAAGGTGGTGCGTTTAGAATTTTTTCATTGTTGAAACTTTTCACCATGGATAACGGTGGCACAGAATATTAAAAAAAAATTTTCCACGTAATTATGAATTTTTTTTTAATATATGATACAATAAGTAAATACTTATTTTATTACACTATTACCAACATTTTTTCTATTATTAATTAATAAAAAATCTTCAATAATATTCAAGTAAAGGAAATTGAGGCAGTCACTTAGATGTTTTTGTATTTGCGTCATTTTTTGATTTTAAGATTCAAAATGGCGGATTTTATAAATTTAAGATTAACTTATGGTTCAATAAATTTTAATGTTAGATTGATGAAATCTATAAATTTCTAATATGGAAGAAACATATTATACTTTTGCACATTTAAAATATAATCCACATCGGAGAATCCAGGCATTAAATGATATTAGTTTATTATAAATTTTTCTTATTATAGAAAATTTAATTATTGCAATATTTGCGAATTCAATGTAAACACTATTAAAATTTGCTTTGGTGGACCCTTCAAAGTACTCGCATTAACTTAAATATTTCTATTTAATGAATTCCTCATCCTATATTTTGGCAAGAAGACCCTCTTTCACAATCTTCATTTTTCCTTTGGCGAACATTCCATTCTATGTGTTATTTGTGCCTCTGTTCATTTACGGAGAGATTTTATCAAGATGTTTGTTATAAAAAGAAATTAATTATAAAAAATGAATTAAAAGCTTATTATAGTGTGACTTAGTGTTTGCTGCGGAAATATCCTCTACAGAGAATGAACTGCCCGTTTTAATTGTCTATTATGAAAAATGACATCCGAAAATTCCAGCCAGAATTTGTGCACTGGGCATTCCGTGTTGAAATCACTCGCAATACCCACAATACTAATATGTACAACGGTCTTTCGTTGATAAAAATCTCCCAAAGATTCATTGTACTATGTTTTCTGGATTTGGTAAAGGGTGATATAATAGACAATTTAAAAACTTTTATAATTGTTTATTTCTATGAAATGCCACATAAAATTATATTGTTAAAGCATATAAAATTTAATAAAAATTTATAAAGTTTATATTAAGTAAAAGCTGTGGTTCCAAAACATCTAGAAAACTTTAAAACCATGACCATATTTTTAGTTGACCTATCTACTATAATTTCTATGTATAATTAATTATTTTGAAAGACTGACTGCATTCCCAATACTTTTTTTTGTTCTATTATTTTAATTATTAATTATATTTTTTATCCTTTGCATATTTTAAAATAATACAATAAAAAGATAAAGATCTGTTATTATGTCTGTAATGTTTAATGAATCATACATAGTAGTAGGCCCTTCAAGAGAAAAGATTATTAAGACTAAGGTGATAGATGAATTATAGGCCCATCAACTAGCTAGAGTAATTGGATCATTCATTAATGATTACTGATTGTATTTTCTGTCTTTGTCATTATACAAAAGAGTAATAAACTTGAATTGGGACAAAAAGAGAAGTTCGTAATTATTATAGAAATAGTTTGATTTACATAGCATTTACTAATAGTTAGTTGTAGAAAACAAACTGTAAAAATTTTCACCTTAAATAATTTTAATAATAATAATAATAACTTTTATTTTTTTGTAATTGATGGATAATAATATTAATTTAATTTAAACAAATGCAATGAAATGTTTATTATTATTTTGTTTTAATAAAAAAATCCTATAAATAAAATCCATAATAATTATAAGATATATTGGTAAAAATCAAGGAAAAAAGGGAGAAAAGAAAAAAAGTATATTTACCAAGAATTTTACCACCAGTGTGTTTTCTTCTTGCCTCATGGTGATCCATAATACCAGCACTAGTAGTCAGCACTATGTACCAAAAAAAAAAAGTAAATATTGTCAACAAAATATATGAAAACACACCAAAAAAACTTTTCAATCATTTTTATTATTATTATATTTATACTTGCCTAAAAAACCAAATTGACGAGATGGTAATAAATTATTAACCCATTTTTCAATATCATCTATTTTTGTATTGAAACGTGGTGAAATGACACCACATTTGTTTAAGCGACCATTTAATTGAATTACAATTTTTCCTGAACGATGATCATCGATCACTTCAAATTCGTCAATATATTCTTTAATATATATATATAGAGAAAGAGGTATGTGTGTGAGTGTGTTTTATATATATACACATATGTATGCAGAATTATAAACATAAGTACATATATATATATATTTTTTTTTTTTATAATTGTAATTAGTATATACATCATCAAACACACTATATATGATAATTGATTTAATTACCATGTTTTTGCATTACACGCAAGAACTTAATGACCACTTTTGATGATGGACGAACTAACACTTGACGTTTGCCACGTTTTTCAGCATTAACAATGTTATTAAGACAATCATTCTATTATTATTAATAATAAAAAATTGATTAATTTTATTTTAAAACCCCATTCATCAGCATTACTACCACATTACCATCATCAATATATTAACTTGTTATATACATACCAAAACTGAAATTCTAACCATTTTGATAATCTAATTTTTATTATTTTTTATTTGATATGATTTCAACAACACAGTCTTTTTTACCTAAAGTAAAATAAAGAAATAAAAGCCATAATGAGTGTCGCTCTCTATTTTTCAAATCAAAGAGCGATTCAAAAAGCTTTGTTTTATAAAGAAATTTTGTTTTGCAATTAATTAACTATCAATTCAAATTTTTGAATTGTGAATATAAATTTTTACTTTTTCTTCTTCAAATAATCGAAATAAAAAAATTTTTTTGCAAAAAAAAAAAAATAAAAAAAAATAGATTTATTCTTTTCAAATCCAACCAATTATATTATACGGTACAGATCATCTATAATCAATTAATTCTATATTTCCCGTACTACTGTTTATTTACAAATATAGGCAAACAACAAATTTAATAAAAATCATACAATCTATCCCAAGTAAGGAAAAAAGCAGTGTGTAATCTTTTATAAGTGAAAGAATTTGCTATTTGATCGACGCGTACTATTAAATTATTGGCACTTTGTTTTTTTTTTGTTGACGCGCGATTGACTTTTTTTTGGAAAAAAATTTATTTTCAAAGATGACAAAACATGAATGATGTTGTTTGGCATGGCTCTGAAGACGTGTTAATAACCAACCAGAGGTAACTATTTTAATTTGGATTGATATGTTATTGAAATCAAAACGCGGAGCAGAACTTTCTGGGTAATTATAAGATCCTTCCTTATCAA